ACCACTGGCCAGGTCAACCTCTGCTTCTGCCTCAGGCAACAACGTGCGGGCTGCCTTCCCCACCCTTGCTGTCAGTCTTCCCACGTACTTTCATCTCCTGCTCCGGTCACCTTTCCCTGGTTTGTTTTCTAATACTGCATTTAAAACTACCCCCCAAATTAGTGCTGTCGAGATACGATCACTTCTCACCATGCTCACGTGTGGCCATTGAGGAAGCTGAGTAAGTAGTAAGGTTGAGATAGCCTAGCTCACAGGGTTGGCAAAGAGGAACTAATGCTGATACTGGCCCTGAGTTCAGCTGGGCCTGGGCCTGGTTCTACTCCTCATGGGTAGACTGGGCTTCGCTCCAGCACAGCAGTCTCTGGGTCATCACAGTTTTATTTCCCAAGAAAGGGGAAGCTTCAATGCCTTGATAGGTCCTGGGCCTGAAACTGGAGCTGACAACATTTCATACTCATGTCAGCTGAAGGCAATGGTCAGCCAGGCCCAGGCCCAACGTAGATTTTAAAAAACCATGTGAACATGTGGGTGTGTTACAATCCATCATCTTAGGACAGGGCAGGCTCTCAATATAACTTCTATAAAAACTTGCCTATTGCTTACTTAAAATATCATTCTAGGGCCTACATTTGTGGTACAAAATCTAGACCAATAAATCCAGAGGCGTGGTCCTGGATCTGAAAATATCAGCTCACCAAGTCTCGTTACTCTGCTTTAATAAGGTTTCTCGGGTTTAGTCTGCATTTTCTAGTATTCTGGCCTTGAAGTTCATCCCTGCTACATTTTATCGTATTATCGCTTCTTTTCCTCACTCACTACCCTACCCATTTGACCACTTTTGTGTTTTTAGGTTTGTCTCCAGGCATGAATTAAAGTGTACTTAATTCCCTACGACACGTTTATAAAACAAAGTAGCTATTAGTATATCTATCCTCAGCCAGCAGCTGCCATGACCAGAACCACAAAGAGGGCAAGTATGTGGGCAAAGCAGACTTTTCTAAACAAATTTCCCAGTATAATTTAAAAGAAAAAAACAGGCCAAGTATGGTCACTTTATCTCCCCAGTTCACTGGTCTGTAAGAACAGGACAGTGCTGAAGATGACGCTGCCTTCGGACTATGGCAAAGTCTGATTCATTTGAGAATTACACAAGCGAAACCCAGGCCAGCCTCTGTCAGCACAGCGGACTGAAGTGCTCATGCTTGGTGGCACGCCAGGGTGGGTCTGCCTGCTGCCCTGAGCTTCTGTGAGCGGGACCCCTTGAAATCTTTGACCTTCAGTTAGTAACCTGGCACAAAATGAAACGGGGATGACCTTCAACTCCAGTTCGACCTGAGCCCCCTTCCTCACTAAATATTAAAGCAGAAAGAAAAGACAACAACTATGGAAATACGCAGGGGAAATAATGATTCATAATTACTGTCAGGTGGTAGAAACAAAAAGAGAAAACAGACAGTCACAAACATTTCTGTGCACCCAGTGAAGGCTAAATCCTTAAACGGTCCTTCCGAAGACTGTGCTCAGTCAGCTCATTATTGCTCTATGGTGGGACAGTCAGGTTTTCTATGTAGCTATGGACTTGGGCTCAAGAAGTTAAGTAACACCCCAATGTCATGCAGATACTACTGCACTCCTGTGTCCACTTGACCCAAAGTCGAATCTTCCAATAAAATGTATTCTTTATCTCAATGCATCTCTTCCGTCCCTTAATTCTATTCTGATTCTGCAACCTGTGGCTACAGAAGTCAGTGCAGTTTCTTTAATTCAAGCATTTGAAAAGCTTTTCTGCACACATATTCCTGCTAAATTCATGAAGCTCGAAATTTTGATGACTCTCCTCCTATTCAATCTCCTGCCTATAGCAGTTCCATTAACAGTTGATTATCCTCTAGCCGTCTACTCCATGTATTTTTGAACACATATAATACGTTAAAATATTCTGTTTTATTTTTCTTTTATAATAAAAATTAATATTAAGTGTTCTAAAACTTAGCTTTTCATATACTCTACCTTATACATACTATATCAATATTTTGATCTACTCAATGGTAGTAACTACATAGTATTTCATCCTATGTATATATGGTAACTATTAAAATATCATCAATTGGTGAACACATAGGTTGGATATAGTTTCTTATTATTACAAATAATTATTTAGTTCCAATTTCGTGCTTATATCTGTCTTTGCTGGGTCGGTGCAAAAAGTGAAATTTTTTATCTGAAACTTTACTTTTAGAGATACTGGCAATTCTTTTCTGCAAAAAATGACGTGCTGCTTTATGAGTTACCAGCTATGTGTCAAGAACAACTTGCCCACAAGTAAATATTTAATTCTGCTTTTAAGGAAATAGAAAAAACTCACTAAAATAATGAGACTATTGTATAAACTTAACTAAATGACCTCTATCATTTCTACAAGTTTGCATAAGGACAATTTCCTAAGTCATCTTGTGTTCAAACTCTAAAGACCAGTTGGGGTAGACAAGACTTTCCTAATTTGAGGCAAATGTAGATATTGAAAAGGAAGGTGAGAGCATTTACATCTCTCGTGTAAGACAGGAATGGGAAATGTAGCAAATAGAAGTCAGTATTTACATTATACTGGTTATATTGATATTTATATTGCTAGCATAACAAGCCTAAACTTTACTATAGTGGCTCTAAGCTATTAACTAGGGCTCTGGCGAAGATTTGTTGGGTTTCTACCCTGTAGCGGGCTCAGTTCTAGGGCTGGGTATTCAAGTGAAGGAGACAAACCAGGACGCTGTACTTTCATACACTCTAGGCTCAGGGAGACACATACTCATCAATTAATTAAATATTTTAAAAAGAATGATTTAACAGTATTTTTGGAGACACTGGGGAAGGGGAGGAATACCTTAGACTTGGAGACAAGGTGAAACTTCTGTGTGTGCGCATGTGTGTGGAAGCCCGATCACAACCGTGGGTGGATCGCTTCAGATGCAAGTCACTGGTTTCCTTTTTGTTGTTTGTTTGCTTGTTTGTTTGTTTGTTTGTTTGGAGACAGGATCTCTTGTTGGTCAAAAACCTGTTGATGAGGCTAGGCTTCCCTTGCTATCCAGAGAATGCCCTGCCTCTGCCTCCCCACTGCTGGTACCAAGATGTGCACCACCATAGCTAGCATTTTTTTTTTACACAGTATCTAGGGATGGAACTCAAGTCCTTGTGCTTACGTGCATGTGTTTGACTGGATCTTCCCAGATCAAAAACTCTTGTCTCGTGAATACTAACTTACGAGATCCTTTCTCATAGCCATTACCTTCAGTTCTTGCAACTACCTTATAAGGTAGGCGTCACTTTTGTCCTCAAAGGGCAGGATTTGAACTCAGGTAGACTTAGTACAGTAACTGAAGTGTGGAATTTTTGTCGCCTCTTAAAAGTCTCTTCTTTTACCTCTTTCAGTCCCTCCTGCATTGGATTTCACCACTGACAAAGGATGTACTGTAAGCTTAGATAAAAGACTCAAATCTCCGCCACACATTGTCTAAACACTACCAAGCTGGATGGCCAGTGACTACGCTTTATCTTCAGAGTGATGCATATAAAACCATATAAAAAGTGCCTAGCAGAATCCCTGGCACAATGTATGTCGCTGTCAGTTGCTGAGTCCGCAACATGCTTGGCACTGTGCTAAGATATATATATATTTGTGTGTGTGTGTGTGTGTGTGTGTGTGTGAATGTCATAAATATTAAATCAGTGTTTTTCTTCCTTGACATGCTCGATCCAAACCTGACTCTTTGGAAATTAAACTGGTCAGTAAAAACATCTCCTGTTCATAAAACCAAAAATCTTTATAGCAGTGAGTTATAAGGAACTGCAATTGTTGAGAGCCTTATGTATCTCTTAACTTACAGAGGTAAAGTACTAATGAGGAGAGTAAAGATCTGAGCTTAACTCACAACCTAGAGAGAGGTTTCCTCTCCAGGAAAAGAAAAAGTTAACACAAGAGCTATACACACATGCACACACACACATTATAATATGTATTATTTTCCAAACCAACTCCATGAACTGTAAAGTTATCTCCTTGAACCCTTTGTGCTTTTTTGATCTTTCAAAACTGAAAGCTCAAGAAAATGTTCGTACTTATTAACTGAGCTTTACAAAAATAAAAATTATTTTCACAATTATGTTTCAAATCCTTCAAGTCAACAGCACAGCAACACCCTTGCTTAAAACTGTTAAGTCAGGAAGACGTGATTCCAAAATGACGTCACCTCACTCACTCATTCAACAAGAATCCAAGGCCTTACTCCCTTTATGTTAGCTGGAATGAAGCAGAACTGAAGAATAACATCCCATTTCTGACTACAGAATCATGGTCTAGTGAGCACAAATAAACCCAGGAAAGGCAGCCATGATTTAGATATGTGAAGGACTACTTCCAGAGTGTCATGATTTATTTAAACCACATAGAAATGGCCACTATGACACTGGACAGGGAAGCCACTCCTTTTCAGAGCACTGAGGGGTAGCATTGTGTGTGTGTCTGTGTGTGTGTGTGTGTGTGTGTGTGTGTGTGTGTGTGTGTGAAATAAAGTCAAATATATTCAGCATCACTGAACTTCAGAGAAGGACTGGAAATCTGGAATATCTACGGAACCTAATAAATTACCCAAATATATACCCGCCTCTCCTCCTTCTTCAAATTCCTCTTTGACTCACAGTCGGCATCTCCCTAACAAAAATGTGCAGCTGCCCACAGTGAGAGGGAGAAGGGTGGGAAAGAGTGAGCACATGGCTGAGGCAGGCTCCCGGGCTCTATTCTGCATCGATATCAGCAATATTGATTTCCAGATGATCCACTCCATGTCTCTCCTACTGCCCACCCCCTTCTGTTACTGCAGAGCACTGAATCGCCTGTGTGTCCGCTTGCTCCCACTGAGAGGCCCGAATCACCACACAGCAATATCAATCATGCCTTTATGATTCATCTGGACTAAAAGCCTGAAGTGAAATGATAATGCACTAACCTGTCTCCAGTTAATGGCAAAATAATGGTTGCTTGAGAAGAAAACACAATGAAGGACAATCTCATTTCAGGGCTGCAAAATAAGGAAAGAGGCAGTTAAAACATTTTTCAAAAGAAATATTGGTACAATCCCGAGGCCGAGCCAGGGAGTCTCATCTCAAATGAGTCTCCCTGAACACTCCCCACTTCCCTTAAATGGAACTCTCTAAGATGATCCGCTGACTGCTCAGCCTTGCTCTGAGTTGCCTTTCATTTTATGTAATCAGTGCTTCTCAGCTCTCAAAACACTCCTCCATGACCCCCCGAGGCTTATGTCTAGAAAGAGAATAACTAGAAGGATTCTAGGCTGCTGCAAAATCTTTTCTTAGAAAAATGTTTCTTCCTTTGATCTTCTACTTCATCTCTTTGCAGAAGGCCAGGCCCTTTGGGTAATTGATAATGAACTCCTTGGGGCTGAAGAGAAGCAAGCCTGACTTAAGTCATGATAAGTGTTCAAACAAACTCCTCCTAAAGCAGGGATACTTAAAGGATGAAGTAATCATTGTTTTATTGGGCATTTTCAGCTTCCCGATCTGTCTTCTAGATTTCAGGTACAGAGTCACTCCTGTTTCTAGAAAAGTGTATGCTCAGCTCTGAAACTAAGATAAAAGCGAAGCCAAAGGTCATACTTTTGAGCACTGTTGCCTGTCAGTCATCATCTTTTATTCATTTCCTGAGACATTTAATTAGTAACTGAGTGAGTAACCTTGAGCCAGAGAACAGTATATGCTATAGAAATCCAACTTGCAAACCAGAATCAATGAAAAAGAGCCCCGTAGTCGTCAGATGTTACACTGAGACGCTCCACTGCTTCTGATTAACACTGTATGGCATTCCCAGCACACTCTAGGATTGAACTGGAAATTTATAAACAACTGTCCATTCCACTTTGACAGTTGCAGATACAGGGTCTTGTTTATTATTCTTTCCTAGACTATTTTACCTCAGAGCCTGCCCAGGAACCAGAGTGCTCTCGTTGGCTCCTGACGCAGGAGACTGATGATTGAACATGGACAGGCATACATTTTTATAGGAATAGCTCTACTGCTTGCCAATAACCGAAAGCAGGGATTGCCTAGGCCTCTACAGATTGTTTGAAGTTACTTGCAACATGACTTTCAAAATGTTTTGATCATCCGAGCCTGTTTTACAGAAAACATTTGGGCTCACAAGACTGAAGGAGGCAATATTTAATGACACAGCTCCGATTTGTGTCCTTTCCATTACCCTGATAAACTTGCACTTCTTCCTAGCATTTTTTTTCTTCTTCCAAAAAACCGAGGGGGAGCCACAAAAACATGGTTTCCAACGGTTATTTTTAAATAGGAGATGCCACTAATTCCTAGTTACTTCTAAATAAGAGACTAAGCTGGATTTCTTAGCAGTCTTGCTTTTTATAGGCGAGGAAAACAGTGTTTGCTAGTGAAGCCTCCTGCATATATAGAACAGTTAAATTTTAAACCAGCCACACACCCACACATTGTGTAAACACGACTTGTTTCTCTCAACACACACACACACACACACACACACACACGTGCTTTTTCTGTTGGTGGGTTATTAGCACATGTTCATTTAAAGTTTCCCAACACTTTTTCTCCTTTTGAATGTGGACGTTTACGGTGCTAAGGGTGTGGAATTGAAAATGCAGTATGGATCTTCTAAGAATAAAACTTATTTTTAATGCAATAAATTATGAGAAAGCATAAGTCAAACTCGAAACAGATGAAAACCGGGAAAGGAAAAGACATTAAGAGTTGCATTTGAAGATGTTTCCTCACGGCCTGGGCCAAGTTTCTGGGAGCCAGATGAAACAAACCTTCAAGGGACAGCTGAAAGACTCCACGGAACATGTGGACAAGGGCCACCTTGAGACGCTTAAAAGTCAACATTTCAGGAAAGGTCTTCCCTACGAGGGGTTTTCAGAACAGGGAGACCAGGCTTTTGATGAGTTTCCTCTCCAATACCAAGAAGAATGAACTGGGGAGCCATACCTCACAAACCTTTCTGTAAGCTGCTGGACAAAATTATAAATCTCAATCCAGTTATTCGCAACACTCCCGGACCTGAAAAAAGAACACAAACGGATCAGCAAAACATAGGGCTAAACTGCTAATGTTTCCTCAGCTTCCTAAGGCTTGGGGCCGGGGTCCTGGCCCCTCTTCAAAGTGAAGTACAGGTTCACTTTCGGAGCTGAAACTTCACAGTCTGGACTGAATCCAAGAAGCCAAGACCACCACACTTCTCTGGGGGCAGCTCGCTTGTGAATTGTTGAGAGTGAGACCCGGCTTTTCTGAGGAAATGCAAATCACATTGGGTATATTAAGGCTTTTTTCCTGGCTCTATGAAAGCGCTGTGATCAGGACAAAATTAGGCAAACTTAAGAGAGTCTAAAGGGGTGTAGGCGAGTGTGATAGAGGCACCAAGGAGCTAAAAAAGTCCTGGGGGTGAAACAAACTGCAAGTAACCACTTCCCAAGAGACCCATTACTAAATTAAGCAGCTCTCTGGAAAGCCTAGTGGTCCCTGGATCCCACTACCCTCCCCAGCTTTTTGAAAGGAAGCAGTAACAGGACACCCTAGGGAAGAGTTCTCACACCCCTTCCCCAGAACCCAAAGACATTTCAGCTTCAGTCCCAGCTGACCCAGCGTTGCCCTCACAGGATGCCCTGACCCCTTCACTCACTTGTCCAGGACGAAGTACAGGTCGAAGGCTTTTTTGCAAGAAGGCTGCTCCTGGGCGTGCAGCAACGACCCCGGACCGCCCACAGCCAGCAGCCACAGGCCAGGCAACAGCCAGCTCCCAGGGCTGCGCGCCCGGGGACGACCCGTCACCATCCTGGGGCCGGGGCCCGGCAGCTCCCACTGGCTCACAGCCCCTTGGGCTCCTGTCTCCGGCCTCTGGGCTCTCGGGTCCGCAGAGCTGAGATGCGAAGAGGCGGAGTCACCAAGGACTCACTCTGGGGTCAGAGGCTGAAAGGGACTGGGACGCTAGCTCCAGGCTCAGCGCCACCCGACAGCTGCCACCGAGAAGGGAGAGAGGGAGGTCCTGGGAGGACAAAGGGAGTCTCAGCGGCCGGCACAGCTGCGGCCGGAACTCTGGACAAATCCCAGTGGGAGCGCGGTCCAGTCCTCCCCCTCCGGATTCGGGAGAGCTGCTGCAGACAATAAGGCCCGAGGCGACAGCTCGCTGGATAAGTTCCTCCCGGGCTAGGGTCTAGTCTTTAGCGCCAATCCCGGGCCGGAAAGCTGACGTCTAGCTGCGGTGGTGAGCTGGGGACAGACTCCTGGGGACCCCACGATCGCCGCGGGAACTCAGCCGAGTCCTCCCCTTCCGCCTCCCTTCCTCGGACCGCCCAACTCCTCGCGGCGCTTTACAACTTTCTTCCCGGCGCCAGACACCCGCCCGGAGCCACGGGGCGATCCTCTGCAGGCGGGGGAAGCTGAGCGCCCGGGGGACCCCAGGACACCCCAGACCAGGGTGCGCAGACCGCTCCACTCTCTCGCGTGAGGCAGTGTGAGCCCGAGGGCGGGGCGCCGGGAGGAAGCCCACAGAGCCACACAAGCACACTTGTGGGTTCGTGCTGAGCGGCGGATGACTAAGGCCTGCCAGATTTCGGAAGAGAGAGAGAGAAGAGTTCAAAAAAACACAAATGTCCTCTGGAAACTAAACATACCCAACTCTCCCGCAAACCTGGGCCGGGCGGGTTTTCCCAGCTGTGCTGCCACAGCCCCCCGCGTGGTCTGGAGACGCAAGACCAGCTGTCTCCTGGAAAGTGATGGCCTTATGGCTCATCCCTCCTCACCCTTCACCCATCACACACGATGTAGTGACGCAGCGCTTAGTGTTTAAGAGAGGGGACTTCCTCTTTTCTTTCCTTTAAAAAAAGGGCATTCATTTGTTTCATTTCTTATTAATTCTTTGAGAATTTCATGCGGCGTATATTGATCGTATTTACTCTAACAACACCTCTCCTTAACTTCTCTTAGCTCGACCCTTTCCTCCCAACACACGCCCCTCAACTTTGTGTCTCTATTTTCTTTTCTTTTCTTTTTCCCCAAGAACCCGTAGACTCCAATCTGAGCTGTCCTTATTTATACTCCTGTGTGTGGGGCCATCCACAGGAGTAGGTTTGACCTACCAAGAACTACATTCTTAAAGAAAACTCCAACCCCCAGAAGCCATTGATTGTGCATAGTTCCAGGGTTACGGGTTGAGGACTCATGAACCCTTTCTCTTCCATACTAAAATCATGGCGGGCTTGATCTTGTGCCGGTCTTATGCAGGCAGCCACAGCTGCTCTGAGTTCCTTGAGTACCACAGTCTTGCCATGTACAGGAGACAATGCTTCCCTCTGGTCCTCCCTCACCTCTAGCTTTTCTGATCTTTTTGTTCACCCTCACTCGAAACGGCCACCCTTTCAGGATTGTACCTGCGCGTTGAGGAGGGGTGGGATTTGTGGCTGAGCATTCGGCTCACATTTATGCTCTTCGCTTTGACCAGTTTTGAGTTTCTGTATTGACCCCTGCCCCTACTCAAAGAAACGTCTCAGAGGAGATCTACACACTGCACTGCTCTCTGAAGAGAACGTAAAAGGGCGGTTTGCTTTATTGTCCTTTATTCTCCTCAGAGGAGTAAGTTCACTAATGTGAACACGGCAGGAGTTCTCCGCAGACTTACAGCATCAGATATGCTTCTTTCTGCAGAGTGGGCCTTAAAACCAATCAGAAAATGGTTGTTAGCCGATAGCATTTGTACCATTATTATAGGCATGGGCGTATCTTGCCTTGATAGCCATTGAGATTTTTAGACCTCATGGGTAGGTAGAGCTGTTGATTGCTATTCTCCCCTGGAAGCTCACATAATGATTTCTAAGACTGTGAGAACTAGTCTTCAGGGAGACTCCAGGTCAATTCCAACTAGATTCCTCAAAGATGAAAATGTGTGGTGTCTTCAGCAGTGGAATCTTAACATCAAGTTCCAGTAGGCAACCAAGAGCATTGGCAATGGTATTGATTCATGGGCCTTTGGGCCACCTCTGACCAATAACTTAAAGGGAGGTTATCCACACCTGGCATCTCACCCAGCCAAGAAAAACAAGTAATCGCTGGTAATGGGAAACTATATCTCAAAATGTTTTGTCCCACTCTCATTGAGCTCCAGTTATCAAGAATTTCACCTTGAAAACGCTAAATAGTTGAGGAGATAAATATGGACAACTTGTAAGCATTGAACAATGTGTATATTAATGGGTACAATTTTGTGTTTACGTATGGATCAAAAGAACAAATTTAATTAATAGCAATAAGACTTTATTTGGGGTGAGTTTGCCTGCTCTTGCCTGACGGAGGAAGGTCATTGGCTAATAAAGGAACTGCCTTGGCCCATTTTATTGGTTAGAACATAGGTAGGTGGAGTAAACAGAACAGAATGCTGGGAGGAAGAGGAAGTGAGCTCAGACTCCACAGCTCTCCTCTCGGGAGCAGACACCTCAGAGAGACGGCATGCTCCCAGCTCCCAGGCAGACGCACACGATGAAGCTCCAACCCAGGATGGACATAGGCTAGAATCTTCCCGGTAAGCGCACCTAGGGGCGCTACACAGATGATTAGAAATGAGCCAAGCAGTGATTAAATGAATACAGTTTCCGTGTAATTATTTCGGGGCATAAGCTAGAGCTAGCCATGTAGGCAGCCGGGTGCCGGGGACACAGCCCCGCTGCTCGTATTACTACACTTGCCAAAGTCCTATAGGAGCTTAGGTGTGTATGCAAATTTATACTTATTGACCCTGAACTCTTGCTCCTCTCTCCCTCCCCTTCCCTCTCCATCACACCCACTGTGACTTCCACACTTGCATTTGTCAAAGTAGGTCTTAGAGCTTTCAGTGTTGCTGCTACACAGTGACTGGCTGATGTGAGGTACCACCTCCTCCTTTACAATTTAACAATTTCAGTGCTTTATTATAAGAGGCTCCCGAGGTGCTGGTAGACAGCTCTTTTGCATGTTTTGTTTGTCACCACCTATACTAAACCTTTTATTTATGATAGTTTTGATTTACAGCCAGATATGTCACTGTCAGCTCTTAGAGGATAGGAGACAGTCACTTTAAGGAATATTTATTGAGGACCTATTATGTCCTAGGAACTGTTGAGCTAATGACAGAATTCTGATAGCAAATGCCTTTCGTGAGACTGGCAGTTGGGTCTCCATTTTCAATTTTACTTTGAATCAAAAGAGAATTACACTTTAAGTACCTTTACCAACAAACACCATACCAGTATATATAACCTGATAAAATCCGAGGTATATGAAGTGTGGCAAAAACTGTGAATGTGGTTGTTTCAGGAAGCAATCTGAGCAGGTGTGGTACAGGATGCTGCCCTTGATAGGGAACTTGAACTTTTGTTAATTGACTTCTTTTGTCCCTAGCTTCTTGACTCATTGCTTGTTCATCTTTTGGACTTCACAAACTAGACAAGCAATCTATCTTCTTTTATACATAAATTATAATAAAAATACATGTTATGTACTCAACATTTCCTTGATTACAAGGCCAATAGAAGTAATTGATATACTAAAGCATGTCTCTCATGGTTTCTTGGTTGGCTTGTGTAGGTGATGAGCTCAGCATGGTTCTAGAAGTCTTGCATTTCCCTTACTTGCTCATGTAAGATCTACAGCAAACCAGGAAATGACCTCACATAGCCCAGATCAAAAGTCAATCAAATCACTTTCATGTAATAAATATTTGTAGGCAAGTCGTTTGTTATTAGGGTAACCAGCTGTCCTGATGTGCTGCCGATTGTGGAGGGCACAGGGACATGGGGTAGAGCTAAAACTAGGTCGGTACCTCCCTGGGAGTGTCCCTGGCAAAGGCTGATGCTGGCCATGCTTTTCATAAGCAATAGTGAAGGAGGATGAAATCCAGAACACACTTGGGAAACTCTCCAGGCCTTGTAGGGCTAAGACAGCAGCAGCACTGCTCTCCTCTGTCCCTGTCCAAACTAACTTTCCTTTCTCTCTAAGAATGGGAAAAGGAGCTCAGAATCTCAGGGACTGAGCTGGGAGCAGAGGAAGGGAAGGAAGGAAGAAGAGATGAATACACATATGTATGTATGTAGGTATGTATGTATATAAAGAGGGGAACTAATTAGAATAAATTCATATAACAAACTAAAAACATGAATCATCTTTCTAATTATTTGAGTTTATATATGAAGAAAATAAATCTGGTGACAAACTCAAAGTTTGAATATATCAACTTATTATAGAAAAGCATAAATAAACCCAAAAACATTAAGCCTCAATTAAAGAAAGATAGAATAATAGAATAATGTGAGTTTATGCCTGGTGCTTATTGGTTTTTACTGGACTTTTACTATAGATCGTTTCTACTGCCTACAGATCTGCTATGGACTCATGTTTCATCTTACGTAATTATTTATGAACTGATCTCTGGTAACCGATGTTTATTGATACTTAAGAGATGGATCCGGGGTGAAGAGCAGAGACTCCACTTGCAGATGACTGAATTTCAGCTCCCAGCACCTAAATAAGGAGGCCCACAACTTCCAGCAGCTCAGCTGGAAGGTATCCAAGGTCCTCTCTGGCACCTGTGAGCAACCTGCACATGCATGTAAACCACACAAAAAACCCATATGTATACATAATTTAAAAATAAATTAAAATACTACATACTCTGATCTCAAGAAATGTGCATAAAAATTTAATTTGTTTCTGTTTTCCTTTCACCAACAAATAATAAGATAATAAGAAAGTAAGTGACAATAATGGAAACCATTTTCAAACACTTTTTAGGTCTAAAAATTCAAAATCTATATCACTTACAAGTAGGCTTCTTTGCTTGACATCCATAATGATAGACATGACTCTCTTAGATGTCTAGTACTAGAAGTGATTCATATACACGTCACATGGGAAGTGATTCATTATATAGTATCTAAAGTGATTCAGAGGAGGAAGATAAATCTTTGCTACCTACAGGTGACAAAGCCTATTTTAGCTTTTACCAGGCATGGTCATAAAAGAACTAAATTTTCCCTATGTCTGAACTAGTTCCTGAGAGCAGTGTTGGGAGTTGTCCTTCCCTGAAAGTTCTCTGTGACTGACGACAAAGCATTTAAGGAGTATTAGAAGAGGATTCTCAACATCAGCATTTGAAAATAGATGCTTAAAACCCAGATTCCTCTGCCTCTGTTTCCACCAGTTGCTGGATGAAGGTTCTATGGTGATATTTATGATATTCATCAGTCTGACTACAGGGCAAGGCAAATTCGGGCACCCTCCTCTATTGCTTAGGGTCTTACTGAGGTAATCCTGGTGAATTCCTGGGAATTTCTCCAGAGTAGGTTTCTTGCTAACCCCATAATGGCTCCCTCAATCAAGATATCTCTTTCCTAGATCTCATCTCTGTCCTTTCTCCATCTCAACTATACCATTCCCTCAAGTTCTCCTTGCCCCTCCCTTTTCCCCCCAACCCCATGTTCCCAATTTTATCAGGTTATCTTGTCTATTTCGACTTTCCAGGTATATCTATGTATGTTTATCTTGGGGTTTATCTTGTTACTTAGCTTCTCCAAGATCATGGGTTATATGCTCAATATTATTTGTTTATAGCTAGTATCCACTTATGAGTGAGGACATGCCATATTCATCTTTTTGGGTCTGGGTTACCTCACTCGGGACAGTGTTTTCTGCTGCATCGGAGCACTGGACTAAGCTCCCAAAGTCCAGTTAAGAG